AACTACAACAGATTTTTCTCCAGCATTGACTAGAAAATGCTTTCATCTGGTTAGATTATAAATTATTAACAAAAGTTATTTTAATGTCATGGAATGAATTAATAATTACTGGATATTCTAACTTTTAAAGTTTAATTCTTAGCAAACCAGGAAAATTTTGATTGAAAACCATTTAGAAATAAAACAAGCAAAAGCTTTATGTGGGTTCTTTTTTTTTTCTGTTTTGTTTTGTTTTGTTTTGTTTTGAGATGGTTTGTATAATGGCCCTAGTTGTCCTGAAACTAGCTGTTGTAGACCAGGCTGGCCTTGAACTCCCAAAGATCCATCCACCTCTGCCTCTTGAGTGCAGGGACCACCACTGCCCGGCTAGTTTTTGCCTTTTTAATGAGTTAGGGGAAAGTGTATCAAGTTAGGACTTAAAATTTCTGCTTTGTAGCTGTGAACCTTAACAACAGGAAGACCTAGCCGTGGCTGGAGATACTGTAATTTAATTTTTTCTTAGACTTACTTGCCCTATGAGTGTCTAGCCATCACTAATCCTTGGTTTCAGGTTTATCATCAGTATAATAAAAGTTAAGCCAAATCTCTTATATAGTTTTAGTCAAGTATCAAATATAAAGTGAGTATGAGACAGATATTATTATATATTATTATATTATATTATTATTATAAAAATATAATTATTATATAATAGAATATATAATATAATATTATTCTCTATATAATAATATAATATAAGGGCTGGAGAGATGGCTCAGTGGTTAAGAGCATTGCCTGCTCTTCCAAAGGTCCTGAGTTCAATTCCCGGCAACCACATGGTGGCTCACAACTCACCTGTAATGAGGTCTGGTGCCCTCTTCTGGCCTCAGACATACACACAGACAGAATATTGTATACATAATAAATAAATAAATATTTAAAAAAATAATAATAATATAATTATATTATTATATAGAGAACATACTCAGTCAATTGCAGGTGAATTTTCAATGTTTAAAACATTTTCTGTGAGCCGGGCGGTGGTGGCGCACGCCTTTAATCCCAGCACTCGGGAGGCAGAGGCAGGCGGATCTCTGTGAGTTCGAGACCAGCCTGGTCTACAAGAGCTAGTTCCAGGACAGGCTCCAAAACCACAGAGAAACCCTGTCTCGAAAAATCCAAAAAAAAAACATTTTCTGTGAAGAGTTTTCCACCTTTGTTTACTGGTTAATAAAAAAAAATAGTAGTCAAGCAGATCCTCTGGTTTATTTAACTAATCCCTGCTCTTGGCTATTTCTCCACGTCCTAAGTAGTGACTACTTCGTTGCTCTTTTACTTTCATCTTGTGACCTCCTAGAAACTAGATTTGCTATATTTCTGAATGATGCTATACTAAAAAAGTTCTAGGAGGAATGGGAGTAAGAAGGCTGTAACAAAATGTCTAGATTAATTTAAAAACAAACTGTGGACTTGATGCTTAGGGTGAGTTCAGCGAGGATTTCTTTGCTATTGTCTAGTATAGTTTACTACCCATAGAAGAGTTTCCTCTAAAACAGCCAACCTACATTAGAAACGGCCAAGATTCACTTGAGAGGCAGGTGAGTTCTCTATGAGTTTGGAGCCAGCCAAATCTACATAGTGAGACCCTGTTAGAGAGGGGGGGTGGGACGACGGAGGGACAGAGAGACAGACTTCTCAAAGAAAGTCCTATGTGTAGAAGCTAGTCACAGGAGCTAAGTCTGTTTCTGTGTGTCTCCGTCAGACAGCCTTTTCATCTTCCTTCTGTCTCTCAGAGCTCTCACTGTTCTCTGTTTCAGCTCCTTGTTTGGGGTCCTACCCTTCCCTCCTGCACAGGGCCTTATCACATCTTCCTTAGTTCCTTTCTCACAGGTAAATAGAAACTCACAGCACAAGCAAAACAAGTTACTTTTCTTTACTCTTGTTCTCCATGCTTTCTATCAAAACACGATGCTTTAGAGAGGTGTCTTTCAGCTGTTCCAACAGAGCCTGGATCAGTAAGTACATTAAATCCAGTTGTTGGTGACTGTCATCCATTTGAAATAATTGTCGTTAATAAAATTTGAAAATATGCCAAGTGGTAATGCTGCACTCATTTAATCCCAGCACTGGGGAGGCAGAGGCAGGCTATATAGAGAAACCCTGTCTCCAAAGAAAAAGAAAAAAGCTTATCAAATCGAAAGACTATACTGTTCACAAAAGTACTGTATTGGTAGGTTAGTGATTTATAAATATATAATTCGATTGATTTTTCCTTAGGGTTTCTTCATTGCTCAGCCCCTTTCTGACCTTCATTGACTGAAACCAGATTCCTATATCAGTCTCTGCTTCTGCAGAATTGACTTGTCTTTACAGCACACTTAGCATTGATTGTGGAGCATAAATTGCATTTCTGGTGCATGGGCATCCATAACTTTTTAATCTCAGCTGGTTTTATAGCGTAACATTACCTTGAGTATTCTAACAGAAAGGGGCATGCTAAACTGAGTTGTGAGAAGTCTGCTGCAAAATGGCTTAAATCCATCTGCTGGAGAAGGATTGCTGCTGAATTTTATTTTGTTTAGAGACGAATAAGGCAATCTGTCTTTTTGTTGTGATTATTTGATTTTTGGGTTGATTTCCTTTTTTGATTTTGTTTTTTTGGGCACTGTGTCTCCTGGCTGGCCTGGAACTTGCTGAGTAGCCCAGACTCATAAGATCTTCCTGCCTGGCTTCTCGGGTGCCCTTACACCAGCAGTTGTACAGATAACAGAATGTTCTCCATTGATAACACAGCGCTGGACCTTTGGGCTGGTTATAAACCTACCTCAGGGCTGATTGTGCCTCATTTGTAGACTGTATTCTTAGTATGCGCAGGGCCTTGACTTTGATGCCTCGCACTGAAAAGAATAAAATTTGACCTTACAATATAAATGAGACTTGAGCCATTATTTGGGAGATCTGGAATGTTCTTTCTCTAATAACTGAAATAAGATCGCTTTTGCTCAGGTGATTGACCTCACACTTGTTCTTCCTGCTTCAGCCTTCCAGGTGCCAGAATCTAGTTCTGCGTGTCATTATGCTCAGCCTAAGTGTGATCCCCAGTTAAATGTAATTTTTTTGTTAAATTTGTTATTTAAAAAAATACATAGATGATAGAAAATTAATGCTTTAGTACACAATTCCAGAAGATTAGGCTAAATAAATCACAGAGGTATCTGCAGTTGGTCTCAGCTGCTGGCATATGATAGAATTGGCTAAGAAGAATGTGAAAGTGAAACATGGTGGCTTTATCTAAAGAGAAAGCAATAGAGGTGTAGCAGAAATGGTCAAGTTAAGGACATCTTTTAAGATAAACCATCAGAATTTGTTCTGCGTATGGGGAAAAGATGTTAAGGGTAACCCAAGGCTTTCTGCCTAAACCACTAGCAAATGGAGTTGCCATTATCTAACACTAGAAAACTTAGATTGGAGGAACCAGGTTCTGGTTACAAATACATGTTAGTACTTAGCCAACATTTGGAAGGACTGAAAACATTTTTAAAATATATTAAAATTTGTGCAAGATGCTAAAAGAAAATGTTGAATGGGGAGGGGTATTAGTGAGATGTCTCTGATTAAAGGTACTTTCTGCCAAGACTGACTACCTGAGTGTAGTACCCAGTGCTTACTACTCCTCCAGATAATTGTGTTCAGGTCCTAATACCCATGTCAGACAGCTCACACCATCTGTAACTATCTGAGTTATAGATCTGAGGGATCTGAGTCCCTCTTCTGTCTTCCATAAGCACCACACATATACAATATTAAATATAATGAAAACTAAATATTTGCTTTTAAAGTTGTACATGGACAAAAGGGGCACTATATTATATATATTTTATATTGCCAGAGAGTATCATACATGATATTTTATTTGATACATGTTTTCTATTAAGTAATTTGTCATAGGTAATTTAAATAGGGTGTTTATTATTTAATGAACCTTGAAATGCTCAGTGTTTATAATTATTGTTTCTTAATTGTTAAGTACTGTTACAAAGATAATTAAATGTGGAATATGTGCAGTTTTTCTTTTTTTTCTTTTTTTCTTTTTCTTTCTTTTTTTTTTTTTTTTTTTCGAGACAGGGTTTCTCCGTAGCTTTTTGGTTCCTGTCCTGGAACTAGCTCTTGTAGACCAGGCTGGTCTCGAACTCACAGAGATCCGCCTGCCTCTGCCTCCCAAGTGCTGGGATTAAAGGCATGCGCCACCACCGCCCAGCTTCCATTTGTTTTTTGGTGATAGCCCTAGTGTCCTAACTTTCTCTGTAGACCGTGCTAACCTCAAACTCACAGAGATCTGCCTGCCGCTGCCTCTGCCTCCTGAGTGCTTGGATTAAAGGTGTGTGCCAGCACTGCCTAACTAAGTGCATTGTTTTTAATTTTATTCATAGAACTTAATATTATAGATTTCATTTCTTGAGATTTGTAGTTAAAATTCATTTAGCAGGGGCTGGAGAGATGGCTCAGTGGTTAAGAGCATTGCCTGCTCTTCCAAAGGTCCTGAGTTCAATTTCCGGCAACCACATGGTGGCTCACAACCATCTGTAATGAGGTCTGGTGCCCTCTTCTGGCCTGCAGACATACACACATATTATGTATTTGTATACATAATAAATAAATAAATAAATATTTTAAAATTTCATTTAGCAGAGATTAAAATCATTGTTTTATTTTTCAGTTAGTAGATGATACTATTATTATTAATTATATTATTAATTATTATATTAATATTTCTGTTACTCAGTTTCTTTCATTTTGGGTTTCTCTTTATAACAGCCCTGACTGTCCATGAACTCTCTAGACCAGGCTGGGCCTGAACTCACAGAGATACCTCTGCCTCTTCTGGAGTACTGGGATTAAAGGCGTGCGCCACCACGCCTGGCAAACCGATTTCTTTATAGAATGGGGAAAACAATGAAATCTATGTAGGTTGTTGGAAACAATTTAGTTCCTTCATGGAGAGTACTTCAAATAGTTCTAGCGTGCTCGCTTTGGAACACGTCTACTAAAACTGGAACGACACGGAGAAGATTAGCGTGGCCCCTGCACAAAGATGACACGCAAATTCGTGAAGCGTTCCACATTATATAAAAAAAAGATAGTACCTAGAATATAATTGTTGCTTATTAAATGTCAGCTATATGATTGGCTTATTAGTGTAGTAAAGTCTCTGGTTCTAAAAATAAAACTGTAGGGTTTTTTCTTTATATGTAGTATATACTTATAATATCCTTTTGAATATAAAATTATTTATTATTATGGAATATCATATATAGTTTTAATTGGATGGTCATTTCTTATATAACACTGTGTCTTAATATCTTACGTATGCATCATTTGAGTTTTCAAACCACATTCTTAACTTCATATTACAATTTTGTCATTGCAGGCAAGAAGACAACAAGACCCTAGTCCTGGTTCCAACTTAGGTGGTGGTGATGATCTCAAGCTTCGTTAAGACTAGCACAGCACCCGTGCCGCCCATCCCTACGTACACACTGCTTCTAGTTGGTATCAGCAACACATTGTGCGACCAGAAACTGTGATAACTGGAGGTACTGCAGTCAATTTCGTGACCTGAGGCAGTAAAAGACATCGTCAGCTGCCATGGTTTTGCACTATAATATCTGCATTTCTGGTTTTTAAAACATGTAGCCAGTAATAATTTGAAATTTTTTTCTATGCAAGCTTATCTTGTTGGCATTATTTTGGTTGGGTTGAAAGTATCTTCTTTCTCCATTTTAATTTAAAAGTTCATGTCATTTAAGAACAAGATAAGAAATTGAAATTTGTATCAGGGTTTTCTTCAGCAGTTGCTTAAAATTATTTTATACTTTCAGATGAGTTGGTCATACAGTCTTCCTTCTAGATAAGCATTCTTTGTGTTTGTTTTCTCCATATTACTTTGTTTTTTGTATTCTACACCATTTTACAAATAAGATGTGTTTGCGTTTTCTTACAAGCTAAACACCTAGCAGCATAGAGCTGTCTGCCACCGCCTCCTAAAACAGTTTACAGTTGTGAAAGTCACAGTATCCTTTTAAATACTAGTACTCACCTCTTTTTTGCCCTTTTAAACATAAAAATTTTAAATTAGTATTCATTTTTATTTGTCTCAGATCTGTTTCAAGTTCTCTTCTATAATCATGAGTTTGGGTAGAGGTGTTCTCCATAGGTGATAATGTTCTACAGAAATGCCCAAAGAAGTCACAGGCTGGCTTCTGTTTTATTCAGGGATTTTATTTTTAAGTCAATCAGAAAAGGGATACTGGAACTTACTCTATGTAACAGCATATAAAACTGGAGGCAGTGATGAATCAGTACAAAGGTAAATTGTATTAACATCATGTTTAAGATAGCTGCTTTCATGTGTATTTTGTATTGCATGCTTTTGTAGAAACAATATTGGGTGATGAAGATTAGTCTTAGAAAATGTTCATCTGTGCAGGAGATACATTTTCTTCCATTAATTCTGGGCGAAACATTCACAGTTATATATGATGGTATTTTGCAAAAGGACTATTAATAGTGCATTTTGAGATGAATCAGTGTGACAATATTTTTAAAATAGGCTTAGTGTCAAATTGCAATTTTTTTAAATATAAAACTGGAAAAAAGTGCTAAGTCATTTGGCACATGCTTACAGATACTTTTCTTGGTCATATTCATTAAATGTTACTACATTTCTGAATTTTTGCAAAAATGTATTTTATCATAAAATGGCATTATTTTAGAGAATTTTAAAAACTGACATGGTCAATTCAGAAAAATCTGAATAAGGTCATTGCATTTAAAAAGCATATAAAGATACTTGATTGTGAAGGTGTGTCTTTCATTGTATATATATAATTCATCAACAAATACCTGTATCTCAAAATAAAAATATTTGTTATATATTTGAAGTCGTGCATGGTAAGGATTGTGTTTGAATCACTATAAACAATAATGTGTTACAAAAGATCATGCTGACTTTGTATAAGTAAGTACTATGAATGAATTTGGTTGGTATTTGGTGTTGTACAGCTCACATGTTTACACTCTCAGTGCCCTAATTCCTCTGGGGAATTACCTTTTTAAAGTAATCCTTACAGGGGTGTTTTAAGGTTACTTTAATCACAGAGCTCCTTCGTTTTGACCTCTGCAGTTAATTTTATTTTTTAAAACAACATGTTGGTGGTACATTTTCTCTGCTTTTAGCCAAGAGCTTTCAGTCCACCAGTAAATCAGATCACATGGTATTAAATTTTGTTGTTGCCATCTCTCTGTATATAGTGAATGTTTTTTTATTAGCTCTGCACTGCTTCTGTCTTAATGCTGGCATTAAGATCATAAACCCCTTTTTTCCATAGTGCAGACTTTTAAAACTACTTTAAGTTATTGATGCAATTTCATATTTTTTCATAATCTATATTTAAAATTACATCATTGCATCATCCTTCTAAATTCATCTCCATTAAAACTTGCCTTAAGCTACCAGGTTGCTTTTGCCATTAGCTTTACTGTATATTTGTATGTTTAATTTAGTTTCACATTAAAATTCTGTGTAGTGAAAACAAAGTCTTGGCTCTTTATTGATAAAATGTGATCTTTTCTGTCCTACTACTTTGACCCTTTTTACTTTTTTTTTAAAGGAAAGCAGCAACAGTGCCATCTAGTGGTCACATCTTCTAGTTCCAGAGGCCAACCTTTAGATCACAATGCACAGTAATTTCTCAGTGGTTAGTGGGAACAGGAGGGTCAGAAGTTTAATATCATTCTTGGCTACTACAGAGTTCAAGACCTAGGCTGGAGAGATGAATTAGAGGTTAAGAGCCATTGCTGCTTTGTAGGGACCAAGAGTTTGTTTGAGTCCTAGCACCCAGAGTAGTCAGCTCACAATCGTCTCAGTACCAGGGGTCCGGTGCCCTTTTCTGGCATCTGTGAACATAGTATACATGTACATGAGCAAGTACATGCACAAACTATTATTTAAGATAAAAAAAAACAATTTATTTCTTTTTTTTTAAGTTGGGGGGGGGGCTGGAAAATTGGTTCCATGGTTAAGGGTACTGGCTACTCTTCCAGGGAATTAGGTTCAATTCCCCACAACTACATGACAGCTCTCTGTAACTCCAGTTCCAGGTATCTAATACCCTCATGTAGCATCCTTAGACAGTAGGCACCAATGTGCCACATAGACATACATGTAGAAAAAACACCAATACACAGCTGAGCGGTAGTTCTAGGACAGGCTCCAAAGCATGAGGTACATAAAACAGTGACCTCTGGACAAAATAAACATATATCAAATTTTAGTACCATCTTTCAGGATAGTTTAGAAATAATCATAGTAGGTGTGTATTAAATCTAACATTCCTAGAACAGGTCCTGGCATTTATCCAAACCTGAAAATTAAGCTTTTTACTTGAAGCATTTCATAAGTTTGATCTGTAATGAACAGATTTATCAGTTTGCTTACTCACTACCAGATTTCATACAAATGACAAAAACACCTTAAATACTGGGTGGCGCTCTTAAGGAAGACTGAAGCAAGAGGATTATGAATTCAAGGCCAGCCTGGGATACATAATGAGGCCTTATTGAGGTGAGGGGGTGGAGTATAAAACAATTCTAAATGCTGACTGTGAGCAAGGGCACAGTGCACTGAGCCAGACAATTCCCCATGGTAGAAAGGAAGGTTTATTGGGGATCAAACTTCCGAGCTATCTCTCAGGGATGGAGGAGCCGAAAAGCAAAACGGGGGAAAGCAAGCAGATCGTATTATGTCAACGCGGGGGGGGGGGGGGGGTGTCTTTGAGCTGTTGAGGATCGACTTCCCGACAGGATCAAGAGAGGTTTCTGATAAGCAAACCCAGAGTTCAGACCTTTGTTTACCCACCCAGAAACAGTCCTTCTGTGTAGGGCAAGCCACTGCCTTGGGGGGGGGGGGGGAGACCTAACATAGCTACTAGGAAATTGTATATTTTTGGTTTTGAGCCTAGGCTTTAATGGCTGAGACATCTCTCCAGCCCACTACCAGGAATTTTTAAATTGCTTATATTGCTGTCATCAATATCAAGATTATAAATGGGTAATGAATTATAAAATGGAAATTTTAATGAAAAATATTGAAGCTATAGTATTGAGTTTTAAAAATAAAGTATATCAACTGGAAAGCTCGCCGGGCGGTGGTGGCGCACGCCTTTAATCCCAGCACTCGGGAGGCAGAGGCAGGCGGATCTCTGTGAGTTCGAGACCAGCCTGGTCTACAAGAGCTAGTTCCAGGACAGGCTCCAAAACCACAGAGAAACCCTGTCTCGAAAAACCAAAAAAAAAAAAAAAAAAAAAAAAAGAAAGAAAGAAAGAAAGATAGCTCAACGGTTAAAAGCCCTGTTGCCCTTGCAGGGGGCCAAGGTTTGGTTCCCAGGATCTACGTGATATCTCAACAACCATCCCTAGGTCCAGTTGAAGGATACAGCATCCTTTTCTGAACTCCATGGACAGCAGGCATGCACATAGTCCACATATATACATGCAAGCAAAATAGTTATACACATAAAAAACTTTTTTTTCTCCCAATACAGTGTTTCTCTGTTTAGCTTTGGACCCTGTCCTGGCACTAGCTCTGGAGACCAGTAGACCAGGCTGGCCTGAAATCACAGATCCGCCTGCCTCTGCCTCTTGAGTGCTAGGATTAAAGGCGTGCGCCACCACCGCCCAGCAAAATAAACTTTAAAAAAACAAAAAAACTTTTAGTCATTTAGGATAACTCAGAAAATAATATAAATTAAGCGCCCTAAATAGGCATCATCTCTGCTCTCGAGGAACTAGTCTATCCTTAAAGCTGTAGCAGCTTCTAAATTATATAGGAAGTGTTGGCAGTTGAGTACATCTGTACTGAATAGTCAAAATAGCCTACCCCGGGGAGACATCTGAGCTGGAAGCTGGCAATCAGCTAGAGAAGACTGAGAGGGTAGGTCGCCAGCTAGTTAGTAGCTTAGCAAGTTTGAAAGAACATAAGGTAATGCCTGCAGTATGGATTTGAAAGGGGCTGCAGAGGTCTGTGTAAGAGATACAAGCTGGTCTGATTGTGTCAACTACATGGAAGA